CCCCCCCCCCCCCCCCGTTTCTGTCCGTTTTTGTTCCCTTCCTCTTGCGTTGCCTTTCCGGAAAATCGTACCGACCTCGTCATTCGAAATAAAACACGGACCAATTCTACGACAGGCTTCTTGGCGCCTCTGATGGCGGAGTTAGATGCTCAAGGCGGGCTGGGGGACGTGGTGGGGGGGCTGGTCGAGAGCTTGAACGCACAGATAGGGGTGAGAACGAAACGGCACGGCTGCAAGCAAGTCACACTACCCCACCTCTACACCTAGTGCTCACCCGACCCCAATACACGCGTGTAGAGTGAGAGGCGAGAGCAGGTCGGGTGGTGTAGCGCGGGCACAGGTTGGGGGTCACGCAAAAGTGCGGTATCCAGCGTTACTTTTTCTGAGCAGGTGAGGAGCGTTTTCCTTACAAGTATACATGTAGAGGGACAGACAAGATGGCAGGATCGGTAGGTATTGTAGACAATACGACGGACGGGTACACCATTGGATGACACGGACAAAAAGATACATGTAGAACTAGATATGTATTTTAGAGGACGATAACGCATCGCAATTTTCGTTCTTGCGGTGCAACAAACCGTGTATCAATGACGCGAATGGCCTGCCAAAATGCATTTGCCGGCCCACCCTTTTTTCCTTTTTTGGGTTCGCGGCATTGTCAACGATGCATGCATAACCCGATTTCCGGAACGGCACACCTACGTGTGTACAGGCGTGTAAGTCGGCGTCGGATCCATGGCTAGCCCCCTGCGCAGGGCTGACAAGTCTGCTGCAAGCGTCGAAGAAGGCCTGCGACGTTGCTGTCAAGGCGAAGGGGTTTGCACTTCCGAAGGAAGGAACGCCGGAGGGTGAGTGTTTCATTTTCGTCTGCAGAATGGCTATCCCTTTCACTCGCGCAGTTGTAGCATACGACCGATCGAGATACCGATTCCCCCTTTCTTAATCTTACTGGGGTACAGCAGCATGTGCCTTAGTTTTGGCCTGCTGCCAAACAATACGAGTACAGAACACGCTCTCCTCTGGAGACACGACTGGCTTGTTCCTGACATGACCGGCTTGTTCCAGCTCTTCTCTTCTAGGTCATTGGTAAGCGTTGAAGCATGTCGTTGTCATGTGCTAGTATGGTGGAGTGTGCTGATTATCGTGGGCGGAGTGTGCAGGGTGGATACTAAGACCATGGGGGAGCTCAAGTGGATGCAGTCATTTGTAGCATTGTCGGGATAAAGATCAAAGACGAATCGCCGCATGACCCCCCGACCATGACGCGTCGCAGAGGTGGCCGTCGCACTTACGGCGAGGCCGACATGCCCGCCCGAGTATCAGTGGTTTACTCCCGTGGCAAGTGCGCCACTTATCTCGAGGAACCTCAGGCCGACGGTGGATTGAAACCCCGTCTGCCTGGGGTTCCTCAAGATATGCACCGGACTTGGCACGGAGGTAAACCACTGATGCTCGGGCGGGCATGTCGGCCTCGCCGTAAGTGCGGCGGCGAAGCCTGCGACACGTCATGGCCGGGGGGGTATCCGGCGCTTCGATTTCCATCAAATGATTGCACCCAAACTTGAGCGCTCCCTTAGCGTCCGTCCTGCATACTCCGGCCCACGATGACCAGCTGTTATAGCACACGATAACGACATGCTTACGGCGAGGGTCAACGCCCTCGAAGAGAAGAGGAGCTGGAATAAGCCGGTCACGTCTCTAGTGAACAATGTGCTCTTGGACTCGCGTTGTTTGGCCGTACGGATTTGTGCTTGTTGTTTGAGCACGCTTCAGCGCGAAACCGTGACCGATGACAGCCGCATGTGTCTGTGTTGATGATTTGCGTCTTGTTGTACTTGACTATAGACTGAACTTGTAGGAAGGCCTTCAAAAACACATTTGATGAAATGGTGTGCATGTGTGTGTTGTATCCTTTGTTTTCTCGCCTGCATGCGTGATCGCTTAACGTTAATAGCAACAGGAACACCAACCACAATTGATAGCAGCGACAACGACCGCCGCTGCGTCCCCAGCTTTAAAGGAATGCAGTTTCACACAACAACGGCTTGTGATCAACGCCGTAACCCCCCCCCCCCCCTGTACGAACCAAAATGCGTTCTGGTGATGGCAGCTGCACCGGTACCGGCTCCCGTTCCGACGGGGCCGAACGCTCTCCAGATGCTGCTCATGCAGGGGGGTGCGCGGAATCGCATGGTCAGCCCCAGATCGGGGCCCATGGCAGCGAACAACACGGTGCTCGGACGAATTCTTCGTATAGGTGTGTGTGTGTGTTTCCATCGACCGCCTTAACCGGCTGACCAATAAAAATGCGTCAGTCAGTGCGGTTTGTGTGTGTGTTGGCGTGCTTTTGCCTCATTTATTGTGGACGCCAGTGTACACCTTGGTGTGTGTGATGTTTTACGCACCAGCCGGGGTTACACAGGAGGTGGAATGCGAAAAAGAACGGTTCTATGCATCAACTATTGCTGTCGGCTGTAGACTTACTATTGTCTTGCGTCCGATGTGGTGTGCTGATGTCGTTCAGCGCATCGGCCGGGTTCGTCTGTTTCGGCAAGACGGGGTTGAAGTCAGGTTCAGCATCGTGTTTTTGTTGGTCGTCGATTTTCGCCTGTCGCCTTCCGTTTCCTTCTATAACCCTTCTCTTTTCTCTCTCCTACTGCTCTGACCGCACTATGTAGTTTGCCTTGAAGGTACTGTGCTCAACGGTTTACGACTGTGCTACTCTCGTGCTGAAATGTTCCTTGTCTTGCTTGTGTGACAATAAACTTGGAAGAGTCTTTGGCCCTCTGGTAAATGAGCTTCTTGCTATCGTCTTCACCCTCTTTGTGGAGTGTGCATTTCCCTTGCTTCCTGAATTCAACCCCTGGCTTCTGCGTGACATCTCTTGTGTATTTTACGGTCGTTACTCTTGTTGGCAACCTCTTGCGGTCGCGTGAGTTGTCTCGCTGATGTGCTACATCTCTCTCCTCGGGTGTTGCCATGTTGCCAACCTCTTGCCGTTGCGGTAGTTACCTCTTGGTAATGTGCTAAGTACATCTCTCTCTGTCTTCAAAATGAACATCCAACCTTAATCCAATCCTGACCCTACCCCCAACTATCTGACAAAACGTGCTGAAACAGGCTTCCCTGCGACGGATCCGCTAGCGACGGATAGCTTCGACAAAGTCTACCGCCGCGGCCAGCCGGGCATCAATTCCGCCCTGCAGACGGTGCGGGGACGGTTGAAGGTGGTCCACTCCGTGGCATCGGGGATCGTCATGCTCCTCGTCAAAGCTTCCGTCGAGGTGTGCTGTGTGCCTCACCCTCGAACCCTTACCCTGACGCTTGCCTAACCACTACCCTTTGCGCTCACCCTCGCCTACCCTAAACTAAACCCTCATTCTAGCGCTCTCGGGACTAATTTTACCACAAGACGACGGTCGAGGTGAGTTGTGTCCCTCACTCTAAAACCCTAAACCTTAACCCTCCCCCCTACCTTTACGCTAGTTCTTCTAACGCTGCCTTACCCACTGCTGTAATTCTGACGCCACATTAACCACATGTCGGCTACCTGCTACCGCCGTCCTGCCGTCCCTTTGAATGTTTGCAATATCACAGTCTCGCAAAGCTGTGGTGGCGTGGTTTGCCGACGCTCTGCTGGTCAACACGCCCGCGGAGGCTTCTAACCCCGACCCTCTCAAAGCCGCTAGCCCCGAGTTCTTGATGAACATGAGCGTGGCACTGCTGGGCCTGGCGATGCCAATCGTTAGGGACGAAGGGAAGTTCAAAAAGGTAACATATGTGATTGATTGGTCAGGGGGGGGCGTACTCATAGTCGTGCAGGCCGTAGTCGTTAGACCATTGACCTCGCATCCCTACAACGCCTGGACGGAGCACGCCGGGTTCTCGCCGAACCAGGCTCTCACATCACCAAGCGCGAAGCGCCGTGAGGTATTCGACGAGTCGCATAAAAGGTGCGCTGCATCCTGCTACGGGTGTTCAGCATCTTCTGCTTACTTCCTTGCGTGCAGATGACAGCAGCGTATGACTTAATTTACGTCCTGGTGCTTTTACTGCCAGAGACAGTTGCAAGCACTGTGTAACTGCCTCAAGGGTGCTTGACCAATTCAACACAACGTGGCGCGATTATCCCCTTTGCGCGGAGTGAGGGTTCTCGACCCCGCACAACAAAATCTACTCGACCACCATTCATGGTTACCGCATAAAAATACCAAAGGCAAAAAAAAAGTGGGTACCCTGGTTGCCGAGCTCACAAAGCGATCGGCTTGTTTTGTTTACTACACCGCTGCCAAGCGACAAAAACCCAACCCCGATGGCAAACACCCGGGGGGGCGGCTTGTTTTACAACGTCGTTGCCAAGCGATGAAACCCAACCCCGATGGCAAACACCGGGGGGGAGGAATTTGACCAATCTCGTGCGTAACATTTTGATTGGTCAGGGGGGAAGGGGTGTATCACTTGATCAAGCTAATTAGTTGAATTTGATTGGTCGAGGTGTGGTGTTTGTTGGTTCAGGGCGATCGATTTTTTCCAAGTGTCGTTCGTATTTCTTACCCCATGCCCCAACCTAATTATTTCTCTCCGATCCATTCAGTGCTCCTTTATTTGCACAGTGTCTTGTCTTTGTCATGGTCATGTTCAAATCGACGGGACGCTTCTCTATAATACCGTATCATTCTTCGTGTTGTTTTTATTGGCCCTTTTCTTGCTCGACGTGATGCGTGGATTTGTTTCGTTTCGTGGCGCTTTTTCGCCTGCCGGTTCAGATTGACGCGGCACATTTACTACTTGAGGTGCCAGCGATGAACAAAGCACGCACCTTTTCTCTTCGAGTGCAACTGCTGTGTTACGTACATCCACACCTCGCCAACCCCAAGGGTAGGCTAGCCAAGTAATTCTTGACACACCTATATACCTATGTTGTCGTCTTTGGTCTCGAACCGATGTTGCGACAATTATGGGGTACAACATGGGTTTCGACGTTTTTACCCATATACAAGCAAATTCCGAAGACCGTCTTTGACCTACACCACATCGCTCTCCACGGTTGATCGATTGACGCGAACACGCTCATGTCTTCCACCACCACCCCCGTGCACTGCTGTCTCACGTACGTATGCATACCATGACCACCCTCGCGCTATGTCTCACGTACGTATGCATACGTATCACCTTTTTTTTTCAGATCGACGCCGCGTCGTTCTTGTCCAGCAAAGCCGCCATTCGAGACCTTTTCCCTGACGACACCACCATGCTCGTCACAAGAACACCTTCATCGGCATCACCATCAGACTCGCCCGAGGAAGGCGCGAGTAGCACCGCCGATGAGGGGGGCTCCGCGGCTGCGGCTGCGGTAACGGGGGAGGGGGGGGCAGGAGGGGTGGGGGGTGGGAAGGGGGTCCCGCTGGTTGAGCTCAAGAGTTTCACGACGCAGGCGTTTTTCACGTGCTGGAGGGCGTTGCACCTCGGCCTCTTGCAGGTAATTCCCGTGTGGTTGCTCGGGTTGTTTTCTTGGACGTCAGCAATGCATGAGGGGATGTTTAGCAAAAGAGAGCGCGCACGGAGGGGGTGACACCCTGGGGTTGTAGTGTTTATGGCCTTTTGGTTTAATGCTGTAAGACAAGCCCGCCTTCAGCGGCTGTCGGTTAGCCTCGGTGTTCTTCGTCCCTAGTGGTTGTAGGAATGTTCGCGGAATAGCCAGAAAGAGGCGGGCTTCAGTCTTTCGCGCACACTCGGACGCTTCAACAGCTTGCTGGCTGACTGTTATTGGTGCTGCAGGTGATGGGCAGACACGATCGGCTTCATCAGCAGCTTGCTCACCTGTCGAGGGAGATGGGCGACCCGGGCAGCCCTAACCCAGATCCGCAGATGGACATGCACTTCAACATGTTCGTCCAGAGGAAGCTGGTGGCTGAGGTAGTCATCTCGGTAAGTATGTTTGTGTCGTTGTCTCTGTTTGTTGGCACCGGTTGACGTCTCGTTGCCGCTGATGTCTTGGCAGTAGTGGTCAGCCGGTTAGGGTAGGCTTGAGGACGTTCAAAGTGAGCTCGGGCAACCACTGTTCTTGTTGCTGTTGTTGTCGTGGGTGTTGCTGCTGTCGTCATTGTTTTGAAGGCCCTTTTCACCTTCGGTCTTGTTCAGCGATACTGCCGCCTTGACCTTTCAACATCTGCAACACAAAGATGGTCATTTATTCAGCCCTGGCTTGGCGTAAATTCGTCAAAGCTGCGATGTGCGCAGGTGGAGTGAGTGCGGTGACCCTCTACTCGTGATGGTCGAATCCCGCTAGAGCTCTGTCACACCCACTCCCTCGCCACAGACAAGGTACCGTGTTTAGCGGGTTAACTTCAAACTTCAAAGAGTTGTGTGTGAGCAAGAGTCTTATTATAGCAGTCCTGCTGACAAGGTTTTGAGCCTACGGGCTTGCTTTGAGCACGCATAGACTTTCGAGACGAGCTGACCTCACCAAAAAACAGCACAAACAACGAAGATGACAACAAGAGCAACCACCGCGAACACCACCCTCCACCACCAACGGCAACAACTAACTAACTGCGCCGCAGGACCCAGACGTCCTCGCCGACTCCCTCATGTTCATGGTGAAGGCCGGGTCGTGGTTGACAGAGTTCGTATCGAAAGAGGCCGGCGTCGCCATCGACTCCTCGGAGCACGAGATCTCCTCCCGGGGCTCGCTCGCGGGACTGTCAGAGGTGACTGTTTATCTGTGTTTAAATTAACTTCGATTTTTTTAGAATGTTTGGTTCCGGGTGACATGTACGGGTACATGCTGCTTACTCGCAACTAGGGGATGGATTGACGTTTGAAGCGACTATAATAGCTCCGCTGACATATATGGGTACATGCAGGTTACTGGCGAAAGAGCGATTAATTGACTCTCGAGGCTTGTGTAATACTGCGTAGTCCAATGCTTTTTACCCGTGAGATTCTAGAGATTGCGGTTACGACTCGACCTCGAGTTTATCTTACAATTGAGTAACGTATAAAGGCAGTCGAGATTTGACAAGGTGATTCGGAGTGTTCCGGCGGTTGGGAAGTGGATGATGATTGCCATCCCTTGCATTGTAGTGCCACGGTGTGCCAGCCAAATTCATGGGCACTAGAAACGGCTTGCCGCACTATGCGGAGTATGAAACAACTATGACTTCTTACCATCTGCTGTGCTGAACTCACGGGCACGATGGCCGGCTCCCTACACTTGTTGAGACCCCCCCCACTGCCGATGGTCTAACAACTAAGGCATGCAAAGCTGAGCACGCCCCACTGTTTTAATTTTTAACTCGGAGAGCCTCTGTTTTTGGCGCGTGTTTTCTGTTCATCAGGATTCATTGGTGTGGCAGTTGCCGGAACATCTGATCGAGGATATCCTTGAGCTCATCCTGTTCCTCACGAACCATCATCCCCAGACCTTGGGGACTAGCCAGCTGTACCCGTTGATGACCATGGTAAGAAAAAGGGATGGTTGCTCGATGGGCAGCATGATGAGATGTAAAATGGAGGGTAAGAAAATGCGTGTTTCCTTCACGGGCTACTGCTTACGGTGTCTCGAGCGGCAAGGGAAGAAAAACCATTGAATGAAAGAAAATCAGAAATAGAATAGCGTCTCGAGATTTAGGTGTGATCGACTATGGTACGCGATTACATGTTCTCCTGATGAGTAGAAATGACTCTTATGCTGTGCCCTTTCTGCGTCTCCTCGCAACCATCGTCGCCATCGACGTTGTCATCTTCCCCACAAAGAAAACGCGCAGCAATCTTTCACGAACGAAAGCAGCGGGAAGCATCGACAAACGAATCAAGCAGTAGCGCGATCGCATCGCTCCTTGCGTCGGCATGTTCCTTGTTATCGTTTTTCGCATGGCCCCGCATCGCGGTGTAGTTGTTACCCTTGGATGCAAACCCGGTGCCAGTGGCTGCTTGTTTGCAGATACACCATGGTAGTCTACAGCAGACTTCAGCACCCTCGGAATTGCTCTTTCTTATACATACCCCGGCTAATTACCGAACCGTTTTTTTACCGTTGGGTGGTGTTGGGCAGGTGGTGTTCTTCTTGGCACACCCTTCGCTGGTGAAATCCCCCCACCTACGAGCATCTCTGGGCGACGTGCTGTACAAGACTTTCCTTCCGAGGTCGGAGCGGGGCAACGAAGACCCCTACGGTGTGTATGGACCGACGGCATGAGTGCGGTAGTAGACAAGGGCAAATTGGAGACAGCGTGTTTGGTGGTTGTTTTTGTGCCTCAACAAGTTTGTTTTTTTTGCCACATGTAGTTGGCATGTATGAAGACAATTTGACAGCTATTTACAGTGTTGTAGAACAATCGCAAAGAGTAAAGACCGTAATAGTCGGAGAGATGGCACCGGTCGGGGAGATGGCACCGGGGTGCGCAAAATATTACACAAACGGCATGATTTAATTCGATTTATGCACCGGGGTCGGTGAGATTTCACGTGGGGACGGTGTCAGCGGAGCTCCACTCCTGTCCTGTATGTACGTGTACATGGGCGCGTATCACGCGGGATGCCAGTTGCCAACTGTCCACTCAACCAAACACACAATGTACAAGCAGCACCCTACCCCACCTTACACAACACGAAACTACTATTGTACTGCTGCGTACGTACTGGTATCCGTAGAGGAAGACCGAAACGAAAGCGGAAGGACAGTTATATCTTACGTACCGGTGCCTCAGATGGACACCACATCGTTTGTTGTCTTTGTCACGCCATACTCAAACTCACCTTCAAACACAAGACCACTCGCTGTGCGTGGAAAGCTGTTACGTACAGCCTACGTTGCCGTTACCGGTGTGCTTCCAACCAGCAACAACGGTACCTAAACGTACGTGTGGTTCTAAGCAATCAATAGCATTGCCAACTAGCGTGTGAAGAAGACCACGTGTGTGGGTATGCCTACACTGGTGTTAACACTCATCCTACCGGTCGGGGAGATGGCACCGGGGTGCGTGCATACAACACCTGTGTGTATTTATTTCATTGAGGATGGCACCGGTCGGAGAGATCGCACCGGGGTTGCCTTGAAAAAACTAAACGAAATGGTTTAATTGCATTTCCGCACTGGGGTCGGAGAGATGACACCGGTCGGAGAGTTGGCACCGGGATGCGATAATAAACCCGAGGAAAAAACATTTAAATAACGATCGCACCCGGTGCCATCTCTCCGACTGTTACGGTACGCCATGATACGTTGGTTAAAGTGGACAAAGTACTGTGTATGGAGCCCACTATGTGTGTGCCTCAAGGCCAGAGGAGGGGGGCACGCGACTGTTGGGGTTTGGGTACCCAATGTGATGGCGGTTTCGCTACCCATGTGACAACGGGAAATCGGTGATCTATCCGATTGGAGTGTACCGTGAGCTCAATCGTGCGTTCCTGAATCGTGTGACTACCTACCGCCGTTGCCGTTGCCGGTGGATAAGAATGGTTGCTGGGTCGACCCTGAGTATTCCGTAGTTAACCCAGAGAAAAGGAGATAGATGCTCGACTGGAATGACTGTTGGAGAGTTTTTGCGTTACGCGCTTCCAGGGGTTAGTTTACAACGCAGAAGGTGAACGTGCTTGCCGGTACTTGCTATCTGTTTCGTCGCGTCGAACCAGGTGCGCCGTTGGGAGGCGATGCGCACACGGGGCTTCTGTACTCTCATCCCCTAGCGCAGAAGCACCTCGCGCCGTCGCTGCTTCTGCTCTACGGAGATGTGGAGCACACCGGGTACGTGCCCTCTCTGTTTGGGTCGAGTGAATTCTGCGTCTCTTGCGACTCTATTTTCTCCTTCGTGGTACTATTTGCCATGGTGATCGTGATCCCTTGGCCGATTGGAAGATTCAATGTCAGGTCTTTCATCCTTGTGAGTTGGCTGTTGGGATGTTGAACGTTTTAAGTCTGTCAATTCTAGTCACCTGCCTCCGGGAATATCGAACGTCGGTTGTTCATCCCTCCGCACCTGGTCGTAAGAATACTCCAGGCTGGTCGTTCAACCCTTAACCCTTTTGGTTTGTTGGTCCTTTTCGAGCCCTTATCCTAAGGTTGACCTTACCTCTTGGCAATGTACATTTCTCGATTCAAGCCAAGGGTGCAGAGAAAAACGGGCCCAGACAATGCTCCATGCACTGTAGATTTTGGCATGACATGCCGTATGTATCATGGCTCATCGCCCGACACCATGCGCATGTATCCGGGTTGGCATGACGTTATCTTCGTGACACAGTGTTGTGCCAATGCTCTGTCTTTTGCGTTCCGCACAGGTTTTACGAGAAGCTCACGCACCGGTTCTACATCGCCGCGGTACTTAAGTACCTCTGGAGGAGCAAAGAGCACAGGTGCGTGAGAGCCATAGGAAACTCCACTTAGAAACCACCCAGGAGTATGTAGCCTTCGCTCTGACACCGACCCTTGAGAATAGATGGCACTTTTCACAGAATTCTATTCGACACCTCCTGCGGACTGCCAGCAATTCGCTTTCGCGTGTTGTTGTTGTTGTTGTTTTGTGTCTAAGCCTTGTTCTAGGGTTAAACGAAACACTTGGGCACAACTGTGACACAATGTTGGGTGGTACCTGAGGTGTGCGCGTAAGGGCAGACCAAGCGCACTATCTTGGGTTTGTGGAGATCCCAGTGTGAGAGGGTCTTGAGGTTTGAAGGAGTAGCCGTGGCGACGAGGCCCTGTTATGTAGTAGATGTAGTACAACACTTGGTGCCGCGTGCTGGCAGATTTGGATAGGAGCGGCACGTATTACGTCCACGACGTGCTGCTGTTTTGTTGCTTTGGCGCCTACGGCAAATGTTGCCCGAGAGACTCAGTCCGCGCACCCAAGAAAAACTGCAGTGCTGCTCCCAAAACAAGCACTTGCCCGGCACCACCAGGCACCATACTGGCATCGTGACCCTCGCCAAACTCTCTTAACAATGCACATCAAACAGCACTCTCCCAGCACAAAACCTAACATCCCTAATCCTGACCCCGACCGTTTAACAACCCTTACAATCCGAGCTTCAGGTCAACGTTCAGGCGCATCTCGCAGGATACGGGAAAGTTCGTCCGTTTCGCGAACGGCCTCATGAACGAAAGCAACTCCTTGGTGGCATCGGTGATGGAAAAGCTGCCTGAGGTGCGGGCGGTGCAACTGCAGATGCGAGACCCTGCGCAGTGGGGTGCGATGACGGAGACTCAACGGAACGAGATTGCGGAGAGGTGTGCAAAGCACGTGTCGATTTGTTTGTAGGCTTCGTAGAGGTGTTCGAAGGCGTTCGAAGGCGTTCGAAGGAGGGCGGTGATGTCTACTGATCTTCGTGGGAACGGCTCTTGGTGGATACAAGTATGTGGTGCAATAAAGTTTTTTCGAACAACAACGAGGATTCACCCCCCTTCCCACAGACCCATGCTATTTTTCATCTTTAATTTTGGCTATTTTTCACTCTTTATAACTCTCCCGCCTCACAGCTTTCGCTTCTTGCCCCGTCGATACGTTGTGATTGTGTGTTGTTATCGGCGAACGGGATGTCTGTACCAGACACGATGAGAATGAGAGATCGCTCAAGTCCAACCTCAGCCTGTGCAACGAGACCCTTCACATGGTGGCCTACCTCACGTCGGACCCCGACATTCAGAAGGTACCATTTATCTATCCGCTGCTTGGTGTTTTGGTTACTGTCGTCTTCTTCTCTGTGGCGGTTGTTGTTGTTGTTGTTGTTGTTGTTGTTGTTGTCAGGTGTTGTTGCGTTGACTGAACTCAGGAACGAGAGTGTTGCAAGGAAGGTGCACAGTGTGCAATAAGCACGAAAAATTGATAGTGTCGCCCACGGGAGCGTACCGCAAGTTCACTTCAAATGCAGCCATAAGCAAATAATTGTAGCGGTGAAGATAGAATAGTCATATTTGGGCATGTTCTCTTCTTGTTACAGCGTATTTATTCGCGTCCCCCCTTTTTCGGAACGCCATGCACTGGACTGCTTTCCCTGCAGACCCCATGCAAGTTGGATCGATGGCAAAGTGGAAGCAAAACGGCTTAATTATTAACCTCTATTAATAGTTCTTATCGCAACAGACGGCGGAATGTGAGGGGTGCCCACATTACAATTTCACGGTGCCCCTTCGTCTCGAAGCGAACCCCTGGTTTGAGAGCCAAACGACCAAAGCACGCAGCGAACGAGTACTGTACCCCCACTCCTCAACCATTGCCCGTAACTAACGCACACTGCCCCTCTTTCGCCGATCGCAATCGTTTTGCGAGAAAAGCCATTCTTGAGGGAGGAGCTCCTGCTGCGGCTGGCCGAGATGCTGCTGTGCGTTCTCAAACAGCTCGTGAGTGACGTTTTTCCGGTTCGCTTGGCCCGTGCTCCTCCGGCGGCAATCGACAGCTGTGATGTGCAGAAACATCGTTGCACACTCCCTGATAAGCGGGTTGTTTCAAGCGCTTGTTATATCTTACAGAGTTGTTCTTACCGTGTTTGATGCTGATACAGTATCATGTTGGGGAACTGTTGTGCCATAAATAGGAAAATGGGCATCCCCACGTGCAATGGGCGATTCTCGCCATGTCGTCCTTGCAGTCACGCTGCAGATCGGTTGTGGGCAAGGAGAACGCGCACCCAGAATCGTGCTTGACGTCAATTTTGACATGTGACGATTCCACTGCTGCCGTGCTACGCCGTAGTGCCTACACGGATCGAGTCCATGGCGCCAATTTTGACGTGTGATGATGCCACTGCTGCCGTGCGATGGCGTACTGCCCTAAACTGCGCTAAACAGATCGGGTCCAAGGGACTGGAGATCAAGGTGGACAACCCCGAGAGCTACAACTTTAGACCCAAGGAGATGCTGAGAGAGATCTGCACCACAATCTCGCAGTTTTCGACCCAACCCGGCTTCCACAAGGTGTGATACATAGCCTTGACATCCCCATTCCTCGCAGTTGTCAACGTGCATGGGCTTGTCGCACCGTGCGATAGGTATATAGGCTTTGCCTAAGCGTTCTTTCCCTTCTCTGGCTTACCTTGGCGCCCCCCCCCTCCCCCCATTTAGTTTCGCCCATTTAGCACTTGGCGGTCACTAACCGTCCGTAAACCCTTCCCTGGATCGTGTCACATGCGCTTTTTGCGTGAACCAGCATCTGGCCATGAGCGGGTACTACCAGGAAGACTTGCTTCCCAAGGCGACTTCGACGATGCGCCGCCTTCAGCTACTGCCAGCCTCTTCAATGGCCGACATGGACAGCCTTTGCAGGCGAGCAACGACAACGCTGCCCCGTCATTGAACGTTGGTATTCTTCTGGGGGCGAACAATACCAGTGTTATCCCGCACCGTCGGATGTGGAACGGAAGGATGGCACAATCCCCGAACAATTCGGTATTGACTCACAAATACAGTCGTGCGGCCTCTATAGTGCGGGCCGATTTTACCTGCCCTGTGGTGTAGCAAGCACGCACACGTTCAAAGCATGATCATTTTCGATGTGACTGCTGTTTTTTCCGTCATGCAGCGCTGTGATCGAGGCGAGGGCCTCGTACGAAGCTTCGGAGGCATCTCTGGGCGAAGTCCCGGACGAGTTCTTGGACCCAGTTCTCTGCCACGTTATGCGAGATCCTGTTCTTCTGCCCACCAGCGGAACCATCTTGGATAGGTGAGGGAGCGGGGAGGGGGGGTTCCTCTCTGTTGTTGACATGTTTGATCGTTGGCCAAGCAACCACCCCTTTGAAGACGAGACTGGGCAGGCGACAAAGGACGAAACGCGTTTAGTGCCTTGATTAGATAGCACATCTTGTTTTGTTTTTTCGTATGAGCGAGGTTCAGCTTTCGGCGCACGCCGCTGCAAGTTACACACGACAACACGCCATGTGTAACAATCCGTGAGCGTTCGTTCCACCCTGTCCGTGTCGGAGTGTTGGCATGGCATTCGGTGCAGAAGGGCAATCCTGATCTGCGCAGCAGGAGCAGGGCAGATGGCGTCGGCTTTTTTGCCACGACGTTCCCCGGTTTACCCCCCCCGTCATCCCCGCACCCGTGACTGATTTGGGTAGTTTCTAGCGCATGATGCCCATCTATCTATCCATGGCACCGAACGAAAACACACGCTCGTGGTGTCCACACAGGTCCACGATCGTCCAGCACTTGCTCAACGACAGCATGGATCCTTTCAACCGGCAGCCTCTCACGGAGGACATGGTCGAGCCACAGACCGAGCTTCGCGAACGCATCGAAGAGTTCCTTGCACGGAGAGGAAGCCAGTCTGGTTGATCAGCGGCTTTTGCCCAAGCTGCTGCTGTGGACCATGCACAAGGGAGAACCAAAATTATCCCCCCAGCGGCATGAAGAGTCTGAGATGTTTGTCTCTACGGCATATTGAGGTGTCGACATACCCTTCGATGTTGTCTTCGTTCATGACAACTTCCTGTGTTGCAGTCCTGTGTGGGAGCCTCCTTCATTGACACGATCGCTGGAGAATGTTGTCTTTTTCAAGTGTTTTTTGTCTCTGTTCTAACAAGAAACTATAGGTATTTGGAAGAGTAGGGTCCATGCAGGCACATTCGGTTTGAAGGAAGAACCCATCCTTAGAAGCGTTCCGAGAACCATGGGAGCTCGGGAGACCACTGCTGTTCGATACACGGATCTTCCATGTGCCACTTGCCGACATGAGCGGGCGGACCACTTGTGGCACCGACATGTTCACTGTCTTGTGAACCCTCTCTCCTTGCTCCTTGCCCAAATATTTAACGGACAAAACCTGCCTGCCCTCCTCGGTAGTGCGCTAAAGCTACCACGACCTTGGGAACCTTCGGCAACGTCCTCCCCGGTAGCGCGCTAAAGCTGCCACGACCTTGGGAACCTTCGGCAACGTCGCCTTCACAAGGAACCTAAGTCGTCAGATTGTTGCTTCGTGTTTGGTGGCTTAGGTGCTTGCTGGCTGTAGCACAGCCTTCCGCATCATAAACAAGGCAGTCCTTCCTGCCAACAGCGTCGACTGCTCGTGCTCTCGTGGTAAATTCCGTACATCTTGATCTATACCCTTGGGCCCAAGCGGTAACGGAACAGGAGCAGGACTTGACACTTGCCTTGAAGACAGCCGACTCACAATTTCTGGGACTAAATAGAAACGGAAGCAAGACCTGCCGTCCTCCAGTTCATCCCTCTAATTTGTCGGTATCCCTGGTGAAGGCTTCTGCCGCTCATCACCCGGGTGCTATGTACAACAACGAAATATACAGCAGACGTCTTCTGCAACTCTAACTAGACATCTTCTGCAACTCTAACTAGACATCTTCTGCAACTCTAACTAGACATCTTCTGCAACTCTAACTAGAAATCCTGAGATGTCTTCACAACGATTTTCGCTCTTCAAGAAGGGTCTTGAACATCGAAGAGAGCAGCTTGTTTCTCACTCTCAACTCGCGACATTGGTCCGTTCAAAAGGGGAGCAAATCGTACTTGATACATGCGGACATCTCCAATACGTACAGAGTACTCAGCGACCACCCGCTGTCCAGAACTGAGTTCCTGATTTGGGCCTTCCGAAGCAACAACTTTACCGCTGTACAATTTGTGAGTACGTGCGCCGTTCGCACCTCTCGACACGCACCTGTACACAACAAACGACACGCAGAGCTAGCGAAGCGGACCCTTGGACAGCCAGAATCCACACTGCCCTTGGCCTCGATCACACTGATAGAGATACCCCACTTGTCCGTTTCTTTTCACGCGCGCCTTGAGCGAGGCCGGGACCCGGCACCGACAGTCTGGGACAGGCAGCAAGCACGACGGAAGGCTCTCCTTGCGCTCTCGAAGCGTTATGCTGATGCGCTTGGTGCCTGTTGGTGTAAAACCAAGGTTAAGGTTTATCGGCGTGTGCACATCGTTTTCGTCGGGTGACTACGGTGAGTTGAGAGACAAACAAGCGCTCAAAAGCTGGCGTCACGCGCTGTGCACAAAAAACACGGCTCTCGAGACGCTTTTATTCCGGGGTCCAAGACCATCTGCGTGTTGTCTGCGTTTCCACGCATACCGGAGTTTTTTTGTAGCAAGTCAAAGATGCGCACCACACGGCACGACTTTCGACGACAGCGTACGGAAGTGACCACCAACACCTGATGACGATCACTCGACAAAAACAGCACGAGGCATCTTGGCGCGCAAAAGCAAAACAGACCTGTGGTCTTGATCCACGTTTTACTACAACGTACCGGTGAGCAAACGAATGCTTGCATGTTATCTCGGCGCTCACGGGGTTGGGATACTTACACTTTCCAGCTGCTTCTCGTAAGGACGTTTACTCCAAGATGTGGCTCTGTTGTCGTGCAGGCAGCAGCGGCGGCTATATCTCACTCACCGGACATTGGGTGGGTGCCAACGCCCTTTGACATGACAGGCACGCCGTGCTTGTACCTCTCTTGACAGCCGCCCCACATGACGATCGCACAGTTGTGAGGCATGTCCAGAGACTGGGGCACAGGTCGTGGTTGAGCACGTGCGGCGCGGAAACACGCGGGAACAAGGTGAAACGGAATACGTCTCGCCAGCTGCGACGCATATACAGCGGTGGCAGGCGTGCGAGACCCTGCTGACAAACCTCTTTCAAGACAAGACCATGAGGAGAGAGACATGCGTCTCCAAAGTTTCGGACAAGCCAACGGCACGGCATTGCTGATGATATCATGGTATCACCCAGCCGACTGAACAGGGCGTGCATCGTGCGACCGTACCACGCAAGTACCCACGGCTTCGAGATCGTAAGACGAGCATACCAGCCGCAGCAACGCATACGTAGTCCACCATCACCTTCTTTCCCCCCTCTGATCCGCTGCCGGCTGGGGGAGGCTTCACGCCCCTCGGCAGCGTTTCCTCCACAACGAAGACCCGTTTCGCTCCCAAGGACACCCCAACAACGATCGCTCGCGGACCGATGTTCGAGAGCGTGTCACTGTGCGCGCCAAGGTGACTCCTGCAAGCGGGGGGAGGGGGTACATGCCGCAATGGGTTGCTTGTTCAACAGCTCTCCGGGATCAGCAACTCTATCCTTCCAGAAGTGTGCCATCAGGTGCACGCATGCCTCAATGGGAGTGCGTGCAAAGCGCAGTGGATGGTGCGTCTTATTTACCTGTGGTCGTCATACACGTGGCAGATACAATAGTTCGGGTTCCAGCGCAAGCCCTCGCTTCCCGCCAACCCGTCCTCCATGCGCTGCCGTTGCCGCCTGGACACCAGAAGCACAAAGTGTCGGCCGACGGAAGCGACAGGGACGCACACGCATGAATATATTGACAACGCCGAACAGAGTTTCGCCTAAACGTGACCTGTGGCCTCTGCGTGCGTACGTACCATCGCATGACGACACACTACCCAGCGGTTGCTGTGCTTCGGGCAGCTATCACCTGCCGCGTCGCCCCCGAGGCAGCCATCAGCACCCCCAGTGACGGACAGAAATGGCGAACCAACCCCAGTCCAAACGAGATAACGCCGACCGGCCCATCTACAACCTCTCCAACGAACACAAGCTGCCCCAGGGTGCCCTGTTGCTCGTGTACCTTCGAACAACCTCCACGACGACAGGGACAACGTCAAGTAGCTCCGCGGGGGCTACAGCCAAACTCTTGTCCATTCCCTCCTCGTGCGTTGCCCGCCTGTCTTCGTCGGTTGAAACCTTCCACTTGTCTTGAGCCTCCGGGTCGGATTCCGACTCCTGTTTCATCGCGCCCTCCGAAGCCCGCCCGCTGCTTCTCGAGTCACCGGCGGCTGGGATGCGGTAGGCGCGCGAGCGAGAGTGTGTTCTGCCTTCCAAACCGTTGGCGTTGAACCACGTTTGTGAAGTCCAGTCGCGCGACAGTTGCAACATTCGCGCCAACAGCCCTTCTGCCTTGTCACGGGGCAAGAGGTCCTGGTGTTTTGGCGGTAAAACAAGAGTGCAATCAGTCACCATCGTTCTGGGGGTTGTCGTCCTGAGGTTGCGTGTGAATTATACGAGAAAATTACCCCACGTTTATCAGAGAGGAAAATGCGACTCGTCGGGGAGCGCGAAGGACTATCATGAAGGCAGAAATAAAAGCTGTAAAAGCGCGCACGATGGCAAGGGAAGCTCGTCTGATGGACAGCACGTTAGGATTATTTTGGAGGCAAACTAGTATGCTGCACAGAGCTTCATCCCTCTAAACAAACTAGCGCGATGCGGGAAGCCAATGAATGCTAAGCGCAGTGCGCTCCATACCGGTGGTGAAAAAAATCTGCCAACGTCTCACCTCTACACACTCCACGGGCCAGGCGCGCGGAATGATCTTCTCCTCTCGTTCGGCCTTGACAGCTCGTTTTCCTCCCTCCATAAGAGTCTGCGATATCATTGATACAAGAGCATGTTAAGATGTACCGCACGAGGGAGAATCAGTGTAAAAACCAGAGTGGAGAGGCACCCTGGGATGAGTGTACGTTCAGAGCTTTTGTGTCAGAGCGAGGGGGGTGGGGGTAGGGAGGGAGAAACTGAAGGTGCACACCTAGTGGTCTAGCGCGAAACGCGTTCAAACATTGGGGCGGGTTTCGTCGAAAAATACAAACCTGAAAACGAGGCTCACTCTGCAAACTGAACCACAACAAATCTGTTCAAAATCTGTTCTCGAACGCCCGACGCGTCTATCCAAGGTCCACGCGAAAATGAGAAGAAAAACACTGGTGTACGTGGCTAATCCGCTGTTGGACACTTCACAGCTATCCTGTAGTGGCATGGTCACCCAACACGCCGAGAATCGACCCGCTTGTGACGCCCGGAAGAAAAAAGAGAGCATGTTTTCGTCACAATTGAACCACGTCCGGGCGAGAGGTCGCTTCTTGTTCGGGGTGTATGCATATGAGATACAGCATGCGGAGAGGACCACCTATAGCTCACACGCACACACGTTCAAGCACCAGTCATATATCACAAACGATAAAATACTATTGTACCTTCTAGGCTGTAGGTGTAGGGCGCTTTCTCTCTCTCTGGCGGTATATTCGACGGAGTGTATGTTGTGGGGGAGGGGGCACATGGGCACGCGCGGTGCGTGTGCGAAGGCCACATTGCACGAACGTTCGTGCCGATTCGCCCACACAAAGCTGGATTTGATTAAATCAAGTGGGATTCGACTTTGCGCCACAGGAATCGTTTCCAAGATGTAGGTGTAAATCGTGTACGATGAAACGATGGGCGGGGATAGTTCCCCTACCCCCAAAAAAACGAGCGATACTCAACTATTCCAGGACTACGACTCGCATCTGCACGTGTTTTCAGGATTCGGTTCTTCGACAAGGTGCAGTCCTACCGCCAGGCCGCGAAGAAAATATTTGATTCCCGTGTTGTACAATAAAACATCGGGTGGGACTTGCCTGCATCGCATTCTTGCCCTCGCTCTCCTGCGGCACTTGCTTGGGTGCTCCCCTATCAGCGCAGTTACTATTTCCTCCCTCTGGCGGGATCAGATATGTGCCAGCCGCGGTAGCTTTGGGTTGCAGCTCTGTGGTGTGATGGCGGGCCTGGAACTCGCCGCTGTTGTCCAGCAAGGTGTTGCAAGCTGCCTCCGTTGCTGAAGCTCGGCCCGTGCTCGACGGGACTGTAGACATTGCTCCGTCATCCGCGGGGGGCGGCCGACATTCCCACGCGTGACTCTCGATCGCATGCTGGGGGAACATCCTTGAACACATCGGGCAGAGCACCAGCGTGCCTGGTGCCTCTCTGCGTTCTGCGCCAGCACAGCTTTGCTGCTGCTGTTGACGCGTCCGGTCAGTACCGCAGTCCCAAGCATGTTGTTGAAGTGCTCTCGCAAGAAACGATTTCCCGCATGTGGGGCACGGGAGGAAGCGAGAAGGTCCCGGCGCCACCGGGGCCCGTGGGCGAGAACCCGGGCCGCTGGTAGCTTTGCGCTTGCCCGAAGCCATACCGAGTCTTGTTTCACCAATGTCCAACGGTCAAGAACTCTGGCAATGCAATGCTACATGTAACAACGCCAATGCACGGCGCTGGCACAACCTGGACGTCACCGAAAAATGCACGGAGGCATTCCTATGTTCCTCGTCCCGGCTGCCTCTCCGCGTCGGAGAAATAGAATTGGCCTCCGCCAGGCCCGTACCCTATCTGCTTTCAAACTGTTAAGTAATTGACACAGCAGTGGTCCGATAAACCTTATCAGCCCCTCATGTCCACAAAGCCTGTCTCCTGCTGTCTGTGTCTCACACGCGTTTCAGACGAGGGGCCCCGCAAAATGTACATCAGACACCCAAATCTCCGTAGATCAGTACCGAGCGCGGCGCTGGCGCGGGAAGCCAAACACAAATTGGCGAATGCGCCGGTGGGTAAGGGCTATCCCTTTCGCCCGAGTCTCTATGCCGCTCAACCCGCACGCTACTCCGTTTGTCATCAAGGGTTCAGGTGGTGGTGCAGCTGCCGATGCTGGTCGGAAAGTTAGGGGCAAGACATCCTCCTCCTCTCCTACTCCCAAGATTTTCTGCGATCTCGATGGTTGCTTGGTTGATTTCGAGAAAGGTTGCCAGGCGGTGATGGGAGAGACCCCTGACAAGCTTCGCCCGAAGGCCATGTGGGGAGGGCTCGCTCGAGCCAAGGGCTTCTGTGAGTTTTTTTGCTTGTGTGTAAACACTGCTCCTGCCGCAGTAGCACTTGGTCGTGATCGATTGCACGGAACATGCGAGGACTCTAGTCGTAAGATGCTACCGTCGGAGGTGGAGTATGTATGTAGCCGTAACTGTGGAGGACACCTGTCAGGAGTATAACCAACCATGTGTGCACATACAAAGTGTAGGAAGATATGGCTCCCTCGGGGTATCTTGTCACAAGGAGAGTGACAGGAAATGCACCGTCGGAGATGGATATCTTCCGAAGTCCCTGGCCACTTGCCGAAAGTGGAAGCGGAGAGTCTTCGACTCTCCTCTCCCTTTGCCGCCATGGCCACTCTCTCTTTCTACCCTCTTCTCCTCGTTTACACATCACGAGAGGAAGTAGCCTTCCCCTGGCAGTGGGATAATACTGCCACGGCACCGGCATCTGTCTCCGACAATAGCCAGTGTCCTCATTGGCGTCGACTAGAACACGGCTTCGCCGTGCTACTGTAGCGAGGAGAGACAACCAAGAAAAAGAGAAACAACATGCCGAAAACCTCTTCACAAAAGCGAAGAGACTTACGCGATGAAGTCAGGGAGGCGAACGCACTCGTCGCTGACCAGAATGCGGCGCTGGCGAGGCAGGCGCAGGAGCTGGAGGAGCTGCGGAAACAGCTCGGCGTCACTGTTTCCCCGTCACCGTTGATCTCTGAAACGCCGGGAAGGGGCACCCCCTCTCAACGCGTGTCTGCGCATCGTCCCTCTCGGGGAGACCACTCCCAACAGGAGTCGATTCCCGAAGAGGACGAGCCGGGCACCGGTGAGGAGAAAGGAGCCACCCCGGAGAATTCGGACAACGACGGTGACGAGGAACATGACGGCGACGAGGAATGGGCTAACCAGAGCGAACGGCACATCATGTACCAATTGCTCGAGGGCTTCCGGTCACAGGACGTGTCCGCGGATGACCGACAGGCGCTCATGACCTCCGCTGGGGGACAGTTCGCTGACATGCTCTCCCGCCACTGGAAGGAGCAGTCGAATCCACCCGAGTGGCTGGTGTCCCTCTTCCGTCCTACCGCAACTCCACCCACCACGACTCCGGCCTCTGCAGCAGAGGTGGCCCAGGTGAATACTTCTTCGACAGCACGTAGCAGTATACCAGTTGAGGGAAATCAGAGCAGTGGAGGGAGTACCTCCCCCGGCCTAGTTTTTCGTCAACCAATCTTGCCCGCTGTCACTCAGAACACACCTGTCCATCCTCGGAACCTAGCCCCTGATTTAACATCTACTCCGGATAGCCAAGATAGTGATTACAGGCCTAGCAACCCTGTAGCACCCGAGTTGGCCCCTACTCCGGATAGCCAGGACAGCGCACACAGGACTAGCAACCCTGTCGCACTGTCTACGCCCCCGCTTGCGCGTTTTTCTATGCCCACAAGCACCCCTACCTCAACGCATACATCGGGACACAACCAGAAGTTTACCTTTCGCCAGAACGACCTTCCAAAAGAAATATCGACTATTAACAAGAGTTTAATTCGAAAATCTTGGCCCATGCCAGATATAGAATCCCATATTGATACCGTTGGAGGTGCAAAAATTTATTACTGTCTGCGATATCCAGTCAGCCTACCACCAAATCGAAGTAGACGAAGCAGAACAAGAAAAGACTGCGTTTGTGACACACAAAGGGAAATGGGTTTTCAAACGCCTCCCCTTCGGAATTGCGAATGCTCCTTTTCTATTTGCCCGTATGATGTCTCTGGCATTCTCTCACTTCGGACCACGCAGTGGACTTTTGGTGTATATGGACGACATTATTTGCTGCAGCTCAAATTGGGAGAGCCATCTAACCTTATTAAAAAACCTTATTAGAAAGCATGCTCCAAGCACTCCAAGCGGCCGGTCTTACCTTGAAACCCTCCAAAGTACAATTTGGACCACAGGAAGTAAAATACCTGGGGCATATACTGTCGGCAAAAGGGATTCGTGTTGGGGAAGATCGTATAAAGTCTATTGTCGATTTGCCTGCACCCAAAACAATCAAAGCGCTTCGCTCAGTATTGGGAATGGTGAACTATGTGAGGAAATTTATACCCGACCTTTCTACGGTGATCGCACCGCTAGTCGAACTCACACAAAAAGAGCATGTAAAATCGATCGCAAAACGTTGGAACCAGGAACATGATAAGGCTTTTGCAGAGATCAAACGGTTACTCAGCAAAGCACCTGTGTTATGTTTCCCTGACTTTACCAAAGACTTCGTGGTTCACGTAGATGCTAGTGAAGTTGGTGCAGGAGCATTCCTGGGCCAAAAGAACGGCGACGATGTGAATATTATCGCTTATTTTAGCCAACGATTTAACAAGGCTCAACGTCATTACTCTGCGACGATGAAGGAATGTTACGGTGTGGTTTTGAGTTTACAACACTGGCGACCCTACTTGTGGGGCAGACATTTCGAAGTTGTCACGGATCACGCGGCATTGAGATATTTGTACACAATGCAAGACACGTCTAATATGCTGACCAGATGGGCAATCGCTTTGCAGTCCTTTGACTTTACAGTGCGACACAAGCCGGGAAAGTTACATGTAGTCCCAGACACCCTATCTCGGTTGTTTGCGTTCGATCACCAACAACAGTTGGAAGCACCGCAACTTGCACCGATATGTAGGAATGTGCCTGATGACCCTGCGCTGCATTCAAATGTCCCACCACGTCCGTACCAAGTGTCTGCAGATCGTTTGGAAAACTTGCGACCGGTTTAAAGTGATCGCGAATTATTCGCTGAGAAATCAGTTTATATTAGCGCGACCAACGTATTTGAAACTATTAACCGCGATATCTTGCGTGAAAAACAAGCTCTTGAACATAGCAATATATCGACTATCTTACAAAACCTGACGCTCAATTACCTGATGACGAGACAACCACTTCCATGTCGTACTACTTCGTGCGTGATGGATTGCTGTTTAAATCGTATTTACCAGGCTACCTCCGGAAACGTAGTACGTTTAGTGACCAATTGGTGTTGCCTTACGCCCTTACCGGACTAGTGCTACACGCCTATCATGACCACGTATTATCTGGGGGCCACTTAGCGTCTAGACCGACTTATGAGAAGATTCGCCAAAAGTACTGGTGGCCAACCATGAATCGGGACGTCCGTACTTGGTGTCAAGAATGCCAAGCCTGTCAACGTCGGAAAACAGCCCACAACCGGAACAAATTACCAACGGGACATGTACCAGTACAAAGACCGTTTGAACGTATTTCGGTTGACCTAGTTGAATATAAAGTAAAATCAGTTTCAGCCGCCGGGGTACGGTGCAAACATGTCCTATCCATGATGGACCACCTAACCCGATTCACCGTGTTGACTCCGATTCCCAACAAGTCAGCAATCACTGTCGCTCAGGCCATTATCGACCGCATCATCAGCATCTTTGGATCGCCTGAACTGTTGCATTCCGACCAAGGACCTGAATTTGAGAACAGTGTAGTCCACCAATTACAGCGTATTCTGAACTACAAGAAAACCCGCACGACACCATACCGTCCGCAGGGTAATTCTGTCTCAGAACGAGTACATGCTACCATGCACGCAATGCTTGCCATGCATAGTTCCATGAACCGCGATAACTGGGCATCATTGCTGCCTTTTGTCCAACTGGCTTACAACACGTCATTTAGCTCCACCATGCATGAAACACCATTCTTTCTTATGTTTGGTCGGAAGCCACGACTACCAGTTGACATTATCCTCGGCATCCCTCATGTGGGAACAACAGCGAATACCGAGGAATTCTCTAAAACAACACAGGAAAATCTACAGGTTGCTTTTGAACTAGCGCGCCGTAACCTATCGGAACGCACAAAAAAACAAGCTGCTAAGAACGCTAAACTGCGCCCTATCCCTGTGTTTAAACCTGGTGATCTAGTACTTGTGTACCGCCCATACCATGGATTCGGATGGACCAAATCCGAAATTATTGTTACCGTGGAGAGGACCTTACGTCATCTGCTCTAAATTATCACCGGTGGTATATAGAGTGAGACGCCAGAACGAAACTCGAGAAGTTTCGGTCCATTTAGCCCACATTAAACAGTACTACGCGAGGAAAACGCCACCTGCGCCAGACTTTGATAAGCTTTCCGAGTTTTTCTTAGGACGCCAGATTCCGTTGCCCGAGCTAGACCATCCCGACGAAGCTCAACCGAAAATTGAATCCTACGTCGTTGACAAAGTGGTAAGTCATAAGAGTGGTAAGGGGCCGAAAACCCCGTACAACTACAAGTATCGTTTGCGTCTTCGAGGCTACGGCCCTGAGTCAGACCTTGAATATAGAGCAGACGAAATTCCACAATGTCAAGAAATGATATCTGCCTACCGAATCCGTTGTGGTTTGGAAATCGTGCAGCCTAATAAATCGTCGTCTCGTGCCCCAGTTGAACAGGGAGACCCAAAATCACCCAGTAAAACAGGGAAACGAAAACGAAAACAGGCAGCTACTCCTCAAGAACCTTTAAGTCGGAAATTGGCAACGCAAAGTGGCTCTGAGCCACCGAACAAAACCAAGAAGCGACGAAGAAGGCTCCTAAAGGAGGGTCCATTACCCAAGTCGCGTTCTGCTACGACACAGAGTGATACTCAATTGCCCTGCCGTACTAGCAAACGAAAACGAACTAGGGCCCGGAAATTAAACGATTGATTTATTCTATCGTTCCTAACAGTTGCCATGTCTATCTTTTCCGAGACTTGAGACAAATTTATACTACTATTATTCTGTGTTATATATATATTTAGCACAGGACCAGTAGCCACGGTGGTTGGTTGTATCCAGTGGAAACAACCTATTTTTGAAGTGTTTGGGGAAACACTCGCGAGGAGAATTGAATGATACCACCGCTGTCCCAAGATCTTATTTTTTTATGAATAGATCTTATTTTTGATGAATAGATAAACTTGCCAGAGGGTCACCTCATTACAAGTTCATCCTCCATCAAGATCTTATATTTTTGATGAATAGATAAACTTGCCAGAGGGTCACCTCATTACAAGTTCATCCTCCATCAATATCTTATGTTTTGGTGAACAGATAAACTTGCCAGAGGGTCACCTCATTACAAGTTCATCCTCCATCAAGATCTTATTTTTCGATGATGAATAGAGAAAACTTGCTAGAGGGTCACCTCATTACAAGTTTATTCCTCATCACGATATTATTTTATGATGAAAAGACAGACTCGCCGGAGGGTCACCTCATTACGAGCCTATCTCTCATCAACCCCTAGTACACTAGCTGTCATCTTGATAGCCCAGTACCCACAATTTTTTTTTTCTAGACTATACTAGTATGGACCACATCTATCACTACTCTGTCTGAAGACTCCGTGTTTTTTAACACGCGTTGTATGATAATCAGGCCGAGTTGATGATGTTGTACCAGGTAGGTTAACTCCAATACATGTGTCTCCATGAGCCACTCATGTCTATGGCCGCCAAAAGCACATCTTTAGCACAGATGGACTTGTGGCGCATAGAGGGGGGGGTGATGTGGAGGACACCTGTCAGGAGTATAACCAACCATGTGTGCACATACAAAGTGTAGGAAGATATGGCTCCCTCGGGGTATCTTGTCACAAGGAGAGTGACAGGAAATGCACCGTCGGAGATGGATATCTTCCGAAGTCCCTGGCCACTTGCCGAAAGTGGAAGCGGAGAGTCTTCGACTCTCCTCTCCCTTTGCCGCCATGGCCACTCTCTCTTTCTACCCTCTTCTCCTCGTTTACACATCACGAGAGGAAATAGCCTTCCCCTGGCAGTGGGATAATACTGCCACGGCACCGGCATCTGTCTCCGACAATAGCCAGTGTCCTCATAACGCCTAAATGTGATGCGTACAATCCCCAATAGCGGAACTTTGCAACACCGTGGCTATTTGAGGAGCCGCTGCAGATCGACATAAGGCGACTAAGGTAGGTAAACTACAATACTGTATGTAGAACAAGTCTACATTTAGTCGAGACGTCTAGACCTTCAACACCAACCCTTCGTCTCCGAGCGGGGCCGAACTTTCCGGCTTTTCAATTGTGCCAATCGACGCACGTACTCTTTGCTCCACGTTCCCGGTTGAGACATGGCTGGTGGCCGTGACTGCAGCCGTGGGGTAGTCTAGTCTACGGGTGCATTTTGGACTACTTGAGGTTGATACTTAGTTCTATGTACAGCAGTAGTTGCTGAGAACCAGCCTTGTGACGTCTTCAACTTCCACAGAGCACAGTAGGCATACAACGATGCCCGTGTTCCTCCGCTGCTGCCTATTGCGCCGGTCACAACCTGGTAGAGTTGGAATGGTACTCGCTACCAAGTGTAATGCGGGCAACCCTGAACACAGCAATGTGCTGCCGTTCTTTTCCTTTCCATGCGAAAAGATGAGCACTTGGATTGGATGCCGGACGGACGAGAGTTGTGGGACGGCGTGGCTCACCTTCAACCAACTATTCTTACGGGGCTACCGATGGGAAACTGGGCGGAGCCACAGAAGGTGGGTGGGCTACGCCTGTATCTTGCCCTGTCATCTTCACGTCTCAATGTATCGTCAATATTTTTTTTCTCTCTTTACCTCCGATAATAACAGCTGGCTCGAGGTAAAACTTGAGAACGTTGAGCACGATTTGGGTTCACACGTTCGAAATGGTAAGCAGCGCCTGGCGTAAGAAAGGAGTGACCTAATCCAAAACGCTGCCCCGCCACGAAAAACCTATTGCACTCGTCAATGCAAACCTGGCGGAATCAGATTGTATGTAATGTGATGTTGACGGCGCCCCTCCCTGAGTCCATACTAATAACACCGATGGACGAAATGCCCTTGTTGTTTCTTCTGGGTAGCGAAACTGGTGCAAGCGAGAGCTTGGCGAACACGTACCTGTGATCACTTGCATGTCAAGGGACAAGCACACCCACTGCCGCCCCGGCAACATCCTCATCGATGACAGGTGCGACGTGGAGCCCGAGTTTGCATTTGGCGTAGGCCGTGTTGGGGATTTTGCCTGCCGGCAATCAGTGCGTGGCTCAACGTGCAATAGATGGAGCTAACGGGACATTTGTCGAAGTATCATCACGTACGCTAGCGAACAATGGGCATGTGATTCACACGCTTGTCTTCCCCCGCCGGTTCCACTCTTAATAATTGCTGCCAGAGAGTCGCTGAAGGCTGCCTGGCAGCGAGCTGGGGGTGTCTTCATTCACCACACCGCTGCGACCTCGTCCTTGGAGAAGTTGAAGGCAATCCTGCCAGCGGAGGAAGAGACTGCGAGTGGTGATCAAGGAAACGCCAAGCGACAGAAGAACGGATAGCTTCAAAGCGCGCTTTTCAGGGGACAGGAGGGGGAAGTTGTGTCTGTTTTGTATATTGGGCGATCGGCTACATATCGAGTGTTGGTTGTTGCTCGCCGTTTTCTCGCGTTCTCTTGTGTGTTCTCTTGTGTTGCGCGTCATTGGGGTTTTGGTCTCGCAGTGGTTTTCGCCCAATTTACACGCGGATGTCAGTCACTAGCATTTCCTGGAAATATTCGACAATAGTTCCCACGAGAGAAGCAGGTCGCTGCTTTGCACGGGGTCCCCTCTGGTGCAGATGTTTTCGGCTACGGATCGTTGTTCTTCTACTGACTGTTCTGCACGGCAAAAGCAAAATGAAGGGAGGAGATATGCGGCGGAATTAATCGAGTCTGAAAGTAAGTGCCGCTGCGTCTCGCCCCCCTCCCGCAGTTCAATCAGCGTCCTGTGTGATTTTCAACGAGCATGGATGGATATCCCCTGCATTAAAGGTACACCTGGCCTACTTGCCTTGTATCTGCTTGCGCCACGATTTGGCACAGCTGCTGTGCTGAAAACCTGACACACACAAACGCATCAATCCGATCACCCGAAGTAAAGCACGATAACGAGCCTGAAGATGTAGCTGACTGTTTGTTCGCCTTCGTCAACGCATGTCAGCTCCAGGTCGCGGCTACCGTCACAACTCGGTACAGGGATTTCTGTGCGGCCTCCGCTCTACTGCATATTGTGTGCCCTCCGTCATCAAACTTCATCCAAACCCCATCTACTTTTTTTTTGTATACAGCAGTATCCAACCGTTGAACGGCTGTACCCGGATCTAAGTTCCGCTAAGAGACCGATACGGTCTCTAGAGGTCTCACAGAACGGTGAAAAAAAACGTGAATGAATTATCATCACTTTCAGTCCGAAAGCCTGAACCACGCACTTTTTGTCAGCCGAACGCCCGAGACGCGAGAGATCACCCCATCGGCCGTCCTGCACTTCTTTAGAAGCCTTTCGCAAGTTTCAGCTTGACTGGTGCCTTTTGTGTTGTTGACGGTTGGCTGTGTCGATGACCGGCACGCTCAAGCACAAAACACGAGCATGCCGCAGGTGCTGCCGGCACTAAATTGCTCCGATCTTGATCGATTTGTGCCGAAACGTTTCCTATCCTCCACCAAATTGAAGCCCCGTCCAATCTACAGCTGGATTGAAAAGTCCTTCGACGATACCAACACCGAAACCGTTACATTACCAAATCCTATACTATCCTCCTCGCCGCAGGATACGTGTTCCTGCCAATTGGCCAGCGGGTGTGCGTTGAAGACATTGCTGTGCTTGTACGGGTCCTAGCCAACCGGTCCCAAGCAGTAGTCTGAATCCACAGCATGAACGAAGTTCGGCACGATCCACGATCCATGATCCGACGACGACGGGTAAATGTTCATCCGCGTTCATCCGCGATCCGGGGCGATCTTTCATTCCACCGTGCACCACCATGGTATCCAACTCACGGCAAGCAATCCCAAACTACATACATATGTACGTGTACGTGTGTGGGTGTGTGGTGTGTGACCAGTTAGGCAACGAGTGTTCTCTGAAGACATGCCAGCCAGCGTGGCGGCGGTCTCAAGCAACATGCGAGACATGTTACGGCGGAAGAAGTGGAGGGGTGGACGGATCCACGTCGTGGATCCGACGTGTAAACGTTTCATTCTACAGCAGACCAGCGGACCAGCGGACCGTGGCGCAGGCGGACATGCACGTTAGCGTACCAAGGCATGTATCGCACAACGAGGCCGTTTGGTCATGCTGATGCTCGGGCACACCACTACAGCCTGGCTGGGTGATTGCTGCACGCCGTTGTACGTTGTAAGATCGAACACACCATTCATTGGCACGGCACGACCGTTGGCACGGCAGTCAACCGCAATCGGTGGTCCCGCACAGCATGCGGGCCAGTTTCTTCATCGTGTTGACGCAGAACAAATTGGTGAGTTTTGAGCGACAGGGTATAGAAACAAAGGTGAGCACCGTGGATAACAGCAGACGACCCTGGAATTGTTTGGCTGGCACAAAGTGTTTCAGTCTCACAGATTTATTTGTCTCTTCCATCGTCTTGATTGATTGATTGGGAGTTTGCCTGGCACAAAGTGTTTCAATTTCCCCAAACTCAAACAAAAACACCCGGGGGGGTATCCAACCTCCCCATCCCCCCACCACACCACCAAAAACGGAACCGTGACAATACCGTATCCGATATCCAATATCCACCTCGCCGCAGGACACGTGTTCATGCCAATTGGCCATGTGCTTGTAACGGTCCCAAGCAAGCATGAACAAGCAATCGTCGACAGCATGAACGAAGTTCGGCATGATCCGACGACAACGGGTGAATATTCATCCGCGTTCATCCGCGATCCTTGTAACGGTCCCAAGCAAGTAGTCTGTAGTCTATGTCGATGCAAAAGAGAAGGGGATTACTACAATCACCGTATGGTGATCGATCAAAGAAGTCAAGCGTGAGGTAAAACCAGAGATTGATTGGTTGATACAAGATTTGAGTGAACGTGGTGGAGTAAGAATGGAGGACGCAGTGATTACCATAGAAGGAGAGTCGAAGGCAATTTCAGAAAGAGCGTGAGAGACTATTGTCGAAGATAATCTAGGAAAGCTACAAATGCGGTGAAAAACAGTTAATCATTTCAAGAAAGCATGACAAAACATGTTGCTAAGATGATGAGGGACAAGAGGATCATTTGGTGAGAAACGCAGCATAGGGACAAACTGAAGAGAAGTATAACAACTGAGAGGCAGTTGTTGAAGTACAAGTAAATCGCATACTGATTTGTGGGGGCGTATGTAACGCAGGAGTACCAAAAGGAGGTATGTAGATTGCAGGATTTGCAGTAGATATAGAACAACGATGAGGTTGTTGAAGCACACGTAACATTGCATCCATCATGGGGGCTTCCGTGAGCGTAACTCCATTTTCTTTAATGCGCGCAGCTACCTCGATTATGCCCTTGTGGCAAAGCGCCAAACGCCGATGCCAAAGGTTGTAGGGCTCCGCGCGTGGAGCAGCAACATATGCTTTCTCGTACGTGTTCTTATTTTCCTCATTGATCCTCCGTCTCCTTTCACACTCACTTGTGTCAAGTCGCACATCCAGGAAATACAGGGTCCCCACTTCTCGTAACACCAGGGCGATTCTTGATCCATCTCTTGAAGAAGTCGGCAACTCGATTCGAGGTTGATCTGACATGATCGTGTTCGCACCTTTCTTCTGAGCTGTTCTAGTAGAGAACAGGTGTCGCCCTAATCCTGGAACCAGTGTGCACTTGAACCGCGCTTTCCTGTCGTTCCCTTCTTCATCCTTCGCGAACACGCTGATGATGCCTTTGCTAATCCCTTCAAGCTCAATTCCTCCAGCACCATTTGTCTTCGTAGGCGTAGTGATGTACGTGAAGTCTTCCAAGATGTATTCCAGATCAGGTAACTGCTCGCTGTTCAAGTCGTGGCCCAATGGTACCCACCAGTAAATTAATTTTTCCTTTGATCGAATTCCACACAAGCAGCTCGTTGTGCTGCGATCTCCATGCGGGTGACGCATGGGTACCCAAGGTTCCCATCATAGCCTTCAACCACTGTCTCTTCAGTTGGTTGCGACGTAGTTCGGACATTCCGGTTGTGAGCAGACCCCCTCGTCTCCTCATGAGGTGTCGTAGCTCTGATAGCAGTCCGATGATCATTGTTGTACGTTCTTGGATTGAAGATCCAAGTACCATCCCAGTCTTGGACTTGGTGGCGAACAGCTGTGGCCTGTCTCGTCCCTTGTGTTCCATCCACCATCGGTCCTCCTCGTCCTGCTGATGCATCTCGTGTGCCCATACCATGTTATTGTTGGGCACGACACTCTGAATCGTCATGCGGATGAGTGTTGTGCAACGAACACCACTTCCGTTGCCTCGGTTGTCGCTGCCGTTGCAGAGGACGGTCTCTTACTTGTCGTACAGGACGGCTGGATCTCGATCGCTGCTGAAACCCGTTGTTAGATCCTCGAAGTCCATTGATATCCCGCGATCGCTGTTGAAAATTAGATGCATTTCGCCTGTTTCCGCAGCTGCTGTAGTTCCGTGTAGGAGTCCGGCCACTCCCTGAACACAGCTCCGGGCAGTTACTACGTTGAACAGGCCCAAACGGTGGCAGTTGTAGCATTCCACCGCATCTCTTTTATATGAAGGCTCCGAATAACTTCCATCTCGGCGTCTTGACTGATGAGATGCTTCCATTATAGCTGAATATCCCGCGTCACGAGCAGAACTCCTCCTATCCTTACAAGGTTCAGCAAAGTCTTTACAAGGTCCAGTCCGACAGCATAGGCCAACTTGGACACCAAGGCAAAGGATTTTCTTTCTCCTGACTTGATAGTTTGTGGTTTCAGCACATGTTTCTCTCCTCCAGTGACAATGCTTTCGTCATTGTATAACCACACCCAACATCTCCTCCCTCAATTTTGGGCCGCCTACGGTACAATAGTTAGTTCTTCTTACATACATACATACATACATACATAGATTCTCCACCAAAGCTAATGTGAAGGAATTTTTGACCATGAGTCTGCCTTTATTCGCCTCAAGGCTTCTAATAATATGGTTTCGAAGACGGTTCACCTTCGAGCCAGCTCGCTTTCTGTCCGTACGAACGAACTCGCGACGTGTTCAAACGCCAAATAAATATGGGTTAACTGATTGACTTAATTCCATCAAAGCCAATAGGTTGGGACTTCAGTAGTGCGAACAAAAACGATGGTGGTGGTAATGGGGGAATGCACTTGGTAGGAACGGGAGGACAAGGGAACGACCAAAACAGTAATGAATGGAGGAGGGAAGCAATGGGGTGGAAGAGAACAAGAAGAGCTTCGACCCGGATAACCTTCCTCAGACAAACGACGCTAAAGAAGAACTGCCGCAAAATAGCTGTACAGTAAATGACGATGAGAGTGATGGTGGTGAAAGCAAGGGGGATGATGGTGAAAGCACTCCAAAACGAACTCGAGTGCAAGGTACTGTGGGTACAGGTAGACATGCAGTTTTCTTCTGTTGCTACTACTGTAGTTTCTGTATTTTATCCGGAGAATATTGTAGCTTAGCCTCTCCCCAATGACGCCCCCTCACGGGGTCCCACTTCATGGCATTTAGAACTGTTTTGTGTTTTCGACCACGCTAAGACTGGCGCGTTTTCATTGATCAGCCGGTTGCGCGGTTGGTTGTGCTACATGTATAGCTACTGTGCAGACAGACACGTCCCCCATGATGAGGTCTAATACGCCAAAAACCAACCAGAGGGCGTGAAACCGCGTACAGTGGTACGTAGTAGATAGGAAGAGTCACTAACAGGCCGTAAAAAATACTGGCCATGACACCTTATCTCAGCACAACCATCTGATTATTCTACTTAGTCTAATTGTCATTGTTGTCTTCACATTAAAAAACCGTTCCGGTCTCCGCTCAGTACCTTCTAAATAATGTCCGTACTACTGACGCGGACGCCTTTCCGTGCTGGTCACAAGGGGTACACCGATCTCTCTCTAGAAATAAAAATCCAATAGTATTTTCTCCCTTCTGTTATTGTTGGCAAACTCTCCTGACACTATGTCTGCCTCTGGCTCAATACCCTGTCATCTACATCAGTCCTCAGAAACAGCCACTACATCTACTTGGTCGGTCGGTCCGTCGTCGAAACGTCGAAACGTCGAAACCCTCAGAAAACTGTCTGTTCTGACCGCTACGTTTCAAATTTCAGTGACAACGCCTCGAGAACCTATTAATATTAATATGAAACCCACATAATCCCGCCGCTTCGCTGCCTCGCGCAAGGTGTGGCTAGCCGCCTAACCCAGCCCTGTGAATGTGTAGCTGGACTGCTTTGTGTTCTGCTGATAAGCCATGAAGGAAAAGAAGAAGGAGGGAGCAGGCGGTAGGCCTCGCGGTTCGCGCAAAAACATCGTCGGCAGGTATGGTTGTTTCTGACGCGTCTGGTTGCCTCTGCTGCTTGCGGGTTGCCGACTGCCAATGGGTACGGCTGCGGAATTATGTGCGCGGAAATGATCTATTGCTGGCCTTTCTACGTACACTGGGTCTTACAAATTAAAAAAGCAATAGGTCTTGCTGATCTTTCGTGAGCGAGCTTGCAGCATCTTCGCGTTGGATTTACTCAACCTTGTGTGGCTCTCAGGCGAAGTTATCATCGACCGCCGTGCCTCGCGTTGCCTTCACAGCTGCCAGAGTAGCGACGGCTGCTGCTGAATCTACACGCGTAGCTTGGACTTGCACGTTCATCACTGCTATGTTATGCACGACCCATGGGTGTCTTAGTTGCAGGCCTCTGGTGCCACTGCTGGCGTATTATAATTGTACCGTCCGTTGCCTGAGCTATCGAGCTGCATGTTGTTGGCCCTGGGAGAATGAAAACAATGCGGGGGAATCGACACGCGGTGCCGCACACTAAACATGTCAGCGGCTGTGTTTGTGTCGGACACTACTGTACATGTATCATATCACGGCGAATGCTTTTTAAGTGGGCGTGCGTAAGTGCTGTTAATCTTCACCAAGGCGTAGAGTGGTGCCCAACAGCCCCGACAACTTGATCATGTGATGGTCAAGGTTTGTCTGAGACCGTCATGCTACTGGTGTACTGTTGTCTCACGCTACCCTTTTTCGCTATCGCTCTCTCTCCCGCCCCTGCCCTTGCTGTTGATGCAACAGTGAGTCCCAGGGGCTCCTGCAGGCCGCCGCTGGGACTGGGTTCATCGGCTTCTCAGCCTTTCAGACCGCAGCCAAGGCTTCCCCTACTACTGCCGATGTCGAGGGGGGGGGCACCGCGGGTTCAACCCCGGCTGGTAAGGCAGGTGCAGGAAGCGGCCATGGAGGGAAACGGCGGGTGAAGATGGCTAAGGTGAATGGAGGGTACTCGGCGGGATCTGCTGGACAGGTGAGTGCTCCGGTCTTCTCCGGCAAAGTGAGGTTGTAGGGAGTGGAACGTCGGCGTATTGCTGGTGGAAGCAAACTTGAAGTCAGTTGTTCGAGGTTTGGTGCAATAGGTTGCTGCGATTTCTACGCATACGTGATTAGCATACCTAGAACTGAAAAAATAAAAATGTACTTCAAGTACAAAACAAACAAACCACATCCCTTCTTCAACCGTTGCCCACAGAATCAAAGGGTCGGTGTGCGTAGCAAAGCGCGCGAGATGTGTTCAATAGGTGTCAGGTTGGCCGCTCTAGGCAACTGCTGCTGAGAAACCTGCAAGATATCACTCTTGTTGCCAGGGAAAACTTGTATGTATCGCAACATACGGCATCATTTTCCTCGTATTCCCTCTGGCGACGACAAATTGAACGACCAAACAACGAGATATTGACAAACCCGCACCTCCTGCCTGTTGGTGGCGACAGCAGGTACTTCCTCCGCACTACTCCGGGAGTGACAGCCACCTCGCTGTTGTGAGCAAGCGGCTGTCCAAGCGGGATGTCACCACTAAGCTGAAGGCGTTGGCTGAGCTAAGGGCCATGTGCAGGTGAGTCGAAGTGTCATCAGCGAGGGAGAGAGAGCAGAGAGAGAGAGACAGAGACAGAGACAGAGAGAGAGAGAAACAGACAGACAGACAGACAGACAAAGAAAGAGAGGGATAAATAGCAGAAAGAGCCGCGGTGTTATTAGGAAGCCATACCGTGTTGGCCAATGCTACCAGGACCAGAACCGTACCATAACCGCCGTGCTGAAGTCAAACGGATCACCCCTGTCCCCGCCACCCCTGATGAATCGCATTCCACCAACGTTCCTCTACACCCTCGATGGGACGTGCTTTCTTTTCCTGCATAAGAACAGGCTTGTTACTCGCGAGGCGGAGCTAGCAGCATCACCGCAGCCTGGCCCCGGGCAAGACAGCCGGGCAGGAACATCTAGAGCCAGTTCCGGGGTCGCGCCTGCGAGTGGTGCGGGTGCGGCGGAGTCGTCGGCGATGGATACGCCGGCCACGTCAGCCGAAGACCTGGGAGGATTGGCCCCGCACTGGGTATTCTTGTACCAGCGACTGTCGGCAGAGGGTGATCGGAGGGTGAGGTCAACGCTGTAAAGACGTAGTAGTACCCTTCTATTGCAAGTGTCCCGGTAAGGTACCTGGGTTGCCTGGTTGCCACGGCTTGTGTTGGTGGACAGATAAGCATTGCCTAACCTTTTTATATATTTTGCCTGTAGGAATACCCTGGGGTGCCACTCCGCGGTTGGTGCGTTGTAGTCAGGTGTTGCAGCTTCGCTTCGGTGTTTATGGGTATGGGTGCGGCGTTGGCATGGTGACCTCTCGCGGGTGTATTTCGTGCAAGAATTCGTTGACACCGTGTGTTTTGAAGGTCCCCAGTTGGCAATCGACAAGCTGCTTCTGTTCCTCCTGCTGGGATTCCTTTCCCGCCTTCGGCCTCTCCTCGCTCCAGACTCGCGAGGCCGCCAACACGACGCTGTTGTGCATGCTCAAGGGTAACCGAAGGGCATTCCAGCCGCTCATGTCTTCTCTCATGGGGCCGTGGTTCTGCTCGCAGGCCGACACTGCACCTGAGGTAGGCGCGCTCTGAAACCGCACCGCAAGTGTTGCCGGTCGGTAGCCCGTGTGTGGAATCTCGGGTATTGCAGGGAACATCTTCCTCAGTATATGGTGCTCACATGTCTTTCTCTCTGGGTGTTCTTCTCAACCACAGCGTAGGAGAGCACGGCGGACGGCCTTGGTTTTACCTACCGACCAGGCAGAGCTACCTGCATGTTGCTTGTTTATCACTGCTATGGTGACCTTTGGTTACCCATGATGATTTCGACGTGCTTGTTGACGATTGTGGTGATGGTGCAGGTCTCCTCGTCGGCGAAAGAGGCGTTTGAGGCGGTTTTTCCGGAGGCGAAGCGGGCATCCGTCCTAAGGCGTTGTGCCGGTAATGAGAGGACCTTTACCTTAACCTTCAACAGCAGACGGTGCCAAGTGCAATGAAGAAAAAATGCCGGAGGGACCCTGCACCGGATCAGTTTAGCGCTCCTCGTCAGCATCACAGCCGCAAGACGGACTTGAGAAAATCTCTTTCGTGTGTGCTGTCTGTCAAGAAGAGCTCAGCGCATGTGCGTACTCGTATGTGTTTTCTGCACTCTTCGACCACTCACTACGTATCGTTTTTTCCGCGCGGTTGTCGCTTTTTTTTCCGACCGGAAAAACAGAGGGCGTGCTGAGCTACATCGACGCCACGGTGCAGCAGACCCCGGAGATGCTGGAAGAAGCTTCTGGTTGCACCGCCGAGGAGGTGTGATATGATGCGGTGATCGTGTGAACGTGTGGATCGGGTTCCACCCGTGCTGCAAGCCCCCACAAAAAACGTTTTATTTTATTTTATTACGACAAGGCATCGATCACGCGGAGCCCCCACAGCCGCCGAATTCCTATGTGACAGGCCGTTATTCGTCAACAACTCCGGCTGTAGTGGCGATCCAAAAAGTGGCCAACCTTCTAAAGCAACCTTAGGCATGTCTGTCTCTACAGCGTGGTACCAAAAAAAAATGGACGGGATCGTTTTTTGAGCGCGGATAGAGCGTTGAAGGTCAAGTTGCGGGGGAACTTGCCGGAGATTTCCAACAAAATTGGAGGTAGACGCGTTGGGCGTGTTTGGTCGGCATAAAGGCGATATAGTGGTTCACTGGAACGACCCTCGTAGTGGCGATCCCAAATTTTTCCAACCCCTCAACGCTACCTATGCCTATGCAATGCACTCTGGCGAAGTTTCGAGCGAAATCGTCAACTCCTTTGCCCGCGGGTAGCAGCGTGAAGTTTGGTGCTGAGAGCTGCGAACGGGCTTGAAGCAGCAGCTCTTTCACTTTTGATAGCACGGCATTTGCCAGGTTCAGAGCGAAACCAGGCCAAACCAAATGTCTGCGTGTGTAGAACACAACATGCTTGAGGTATCCTGCAGGTTTCATGGCACGTAGCCATCTGTGTGAGGAGCACCAGCAGTGACAAAGGTGTGCACCAGATGGTGCGCTGGGCAACCGATCATGGGGGCTTACGCGGGGTACCATCGATTTTCGTGGAGCCCCTGTGTCATATTTTTTTTGCTTTTTGTGGGACTTGCAACACGGGTGGTTCTCGAGGTTGTCTCGCCGTGCCTATGCAGGGTGACACGAGAAATGGCGGGCGGGGGGAGGGGGGGTCTACTGCTGTTACCATGTTTTCCTGTGTGCCAGCCCCTCTCTTGATGTCAGCGCTGGGAGTTTGTTGAACAGGGGGAGAGGTTCCGACAGGGAACTTGTTTTATGACCCAAAGGGCGTATAGTTCTTTGTTCTTGGTTGTGTGCAAGCGCGGAGGAGGTGACGCCTGATGGGATCGGGCATACCATGACAGTCTTGTTGTCCCTCGTGTGCCCCCCCCCCCCCAC